AACTTATTAGTTCGAGGTGTTGGGTTTATTGGTGGTTTCATCATATTTGAGACAGTATGTGGATAGAAGGTCATGTGTTTGAACTCTTGTGTTGTCATTTCCTCCCTATTTAATATTAATTTCTATTTATTCGAGAATCCATTTTTACCCTCCATCAGATATTAATTTTTGAACTGAATAAAAAAGTTGTGTTATAACACATACATAAAAAATCAAGATTATAACCGAGTGTTTTCAATAAATATATATAGAAAATATATTGGATGATTATATTATTATTTATCAAATAGTAATCTAATTCTTGGGAATGGAATAGTAGATTAGAAAATTGAATAAATTACCAAACTAAAATTCTCTCTCTCCTTATTAATTAAAATGATGGTAATGGATCAGATTGGGTATTGACAAGAAGGAAAAAGTAATTAATGTTATTTATGAGTTTTGGAGGAAAAAAAAAGATATATTTTTTTTTGTTGATTGAATAAAGGGAGTGGGACTTGTGGCAATTAATAGCACATATGCTCCATAAATTTCGTTGAATGAAATCGAAGTTTCAACCAACACGCTTAAAGAACATTGTTGCTCATTGGCCCCCAAAGTACAATTTTATCCCTATGAAGATTAAATGACCCAAATAAATTAAAAGGTTCAAATATCCACTCTTTTTATTTTTCTAAAATTAAAAGAAGAAACAAAACCAATCCTATATTTTGATGCACCGCCAACAAAATTATAATTGATGAAGAGTTCTAACTCATCCCCTCTTATTTAAATCTCATTTCATTCTTTAAATTTGTGAGATTATTTCATTCCAATTTCATCCTTCAATTTCCAAAATATCTACTTTAACGTGTAATTGGCTTTTAAAATATAAAATTTTTAGTTTTCGCCATTACTAAATTATCATTAATTATTTAATAGATAGGATAAGATAATTCTAAATATGAACCGGAAAAAATTATATCGTAACTTTGAATACATGCTAACATGGTAGAGAGTTGAGGCAAACATTTGGGTAGACAAGTTTTAGCCGCCAAAGTTATTAATATAACTTTTTTAAGTTTATAAACTAAAATAGAGAATAAGAGAGAATAAAACTAAAGGTTACAAGGTAAAAATGAGATTTACACCTAAAACATATAAATCATTTCATATCTTATTCTTTTTTCATTCAATGTGTACACATCAAGGAGTGTTTGACGAGTGAAAGTTTTCTTAATATATATGCATAATGTTTCATCTCAACTCAAGTAGTCTAATTGACGAGAGAGGGGTAACTCATAATCTTTTGGGCTCAACTAAATCTTGATTATATTCTTTTTGTTTTTACACCAAATACTTGTTTAAGTTAAATACGCGTAAAGTTTCATCTCAAAATAAACTAACAATGAGACGAGTAACTCATATATTTATAAATCTTGTTAACCCCTTGATGATATTTTTAATATACGATTCTTAACAAGTTTAGCTTAAAGATGTCTGATTCATGGTGGACTTGTGAAACCTAGAATATTTTTGATATACTCGCTTACTCTCTTAAATTCATTAATTTTCTTACCAAGTTTTCTGAACGCAAGCTTCTTAAATTCTACTCCATAAACACATATTTACTACACCTAACTAAATTTTGCAAACATTTCACTCACTCAAACTCCCGAAAATAATAACTTTTG